AATAATAATAATAATAATAATAATAATAATAAGGGAGAAATGTGGGATTCACATATAAATCAAGTATAAAAATAAAATGAATAATCATAATTGACCTGATTGTTTATAGTTCATGATGCGTGATCAAAACCGAAAGTTTCTGTGATGACTGCCCTTGCACTGTTCACCATGTAAGAACTTATTCACTATGTAAGAACTTGCTCACCATGTAAAAACTTGTTCGTTATGCTTCAGAAGATTGGAGACTGTTGAGAATTAGGCTTGGGGTTGATTAATGATTGTGCATTGAGTCCCCTTTACAGAATTTTATTGTTGTTAACAACTATATGATAATAAATATGAGAGATGCCCTCTCAAAAAAAAAACCCCACAAAATTTATAAAAAAAAAAAATCCTACCTTGACAAGCACCTGTTTATGTGATAAAATGTGCAATGCAAATTACATATGCCCCTTCTGGAAAAGTATCAGTCTGGATGATTATTTAGGCAATACAATATCATTCTCATTCTCATTATTATTATAACTTCTCTGTAATCATTCAGATGCTCTCATTTCAAAAACACTTCACATCCACTTTTCAAAATAGACTGTGGTTTAGGCATGAGAGCAAAGCTACTTAAAGTATGGTCCATGAACTTGTGCCAGGACTGCTTGTAATGGTGTACTATGAGATAAGTATGGCGATTCAAAGTAACCATTTCAGAACCTTCACAGCAAACTGTAGACTATGTGAGGGGATAGACGTGTTAGCTAACTTTACTGTGGTAATTATTTCACAATATGTATGTATCTCAAGTCATTACTTGTAGATCTTCAGTTTACACAATGTTATATGTCAATTATACCTCAATAAAGCTGGGAAAAAAAGAAACTCAGCAGCAATTTGACAGTAATTTTTTGGACATTGAATCTAATAATAAAAAATCTAACTTTTACTTTAGTCTCTTTTTGTCGTTGTTTTTCTAGCAATTCATTTTTATTGTATTTTACAAAAGTTACCAGTGCAAGAGAGACTTTTACAAGTCCTTCAACTCAATTGCTGAAGAAGCTAATCCTCAGACTTCAAACTTTCACTACCTTCAGTTACTATTCTCATAAATGTGGGGGGAAAAAATTAGAAAGAGATTAAAAATGCAAAAAGAAAATAGCATCATTTAAAACATCCTTATTTTGCATTAACTGAGAAAAGCTGGTGTGATAAAATGCTCAGAATTATGTCTTTGATGTATGAACACCCCTTGCCCCTTCGGAACCTTATAAACAGAGTTCAACTCCAGATTTCTTAGAATCTCATGTAAGATTCTCAAACCTTTCTGGTTCTCAATAACTGTAAGTTATACCTGAAACCATTAAGTATTATTTATACATAAATAGTGAAACCTTTAACTGATATGCCTAAGGCTGAAGACTTCCCAGTGTAGAAGTTGCAGCTCTTTACTTTCAATGTTAATTCTTTCCACAATGCAACAGAACATGTCAGAACTCATTTAAGAATGTGTTCACAGAAACCAGCAATGTAATAGAAGGAACACCTTTTATAGCTTAGAACACCCTCTATTTGTGTATCTGTGATCTTCAATGCCAAGTCTACTTTCTTAAACTCAAAATAAGCACAACATTTAGAAAAAAATTTTTTAAGATTTTTAACTAAGTTATAGTATTTCACAGATTCACTGGGAATAAAATTACTTTAACTGGCATTTTGCAAAACTGCCTGATAGGCTTAATTTGCTCCGGCAAGACTAAGTGACAAGTGAACAGGTTAAATGTCTTGAAGCAGTCCAGTTCATTAAACTTACTACTAAAAAACCCAAATTTCAACATGTGAGAATCATATCACTTTAAAATATACCCTACATTCCTAAATAATATATGCTGACAGAAAAGCATAGAAAATGTCTATCTACCATGATTTACCAAGCTTCCCAGAGTTAGTCTGTAAAAAACACACTTTAAAACACCTTAAGAATTTCCTTACGAAAATTTTAACCATTCAAAGCAGAAATTATTTTAAACAATTAAGCAATATGATATTATAAATGTTAAAAACCTATTACCCTAACTGGGCAGAATTTTGGACAAAATGGTTAAGTTCTTATCCACTTAATAATAGCAATGTTACAGGGAGAAAAAAGGTAAGTTTATAGGACTGTAACACGTCAATACATGATTTTTTAAAATTAGTAAGTCACCCTCAGTACACAAAGGAAAATGCTTTCACTGAAACTTTCTGACTCATACTTTGAACTGAGTTTAACATATTCCAAAGTTGAACTATTTAAGCATACCGCTTGCCACAGCTGTACTTTTATTCCATCATGTCAATCAGAAATCTAAATATATCCTAGAAAAGAATAAACTCTACCTAAGAAGACAGATTGTAATGTGTTATTAGATTTTTGGAACCATCCCACTATGGTGTAAACAAATGTTTAGGAGGCAGATCCTTTAGAAATTTTTTGCAACTTTCATTGAAAGGCAATGTTGATAAAAGATCCTTTTTCTTTTTGCTGAGTTGTAAAAGGAAATTATAGCTATCTGTGCTGGATAATCTTGTGAAACACTTATGACAACAACTGTACATACATGGTAAAAATAAAAATACAAGAGGAAAAAATAGATGACAACTTGGCTTTCATTTTACTTGCCAGAGTATTGAGCACACCAAACAAATAGAAAAAAAAAAACACTAGCTTTAAAATCAAATATGCTTTTTCCTAGGGATTTTTTTTCTCCTTATGTACTGAAATGAAAATGGCAGAGTATATTTTAAATCTACCTTCCACACATTATTAAGGACCAAAAATGAGTCATTTATCCTTTTGTCAATGACAGTAAAATACTGGATATGATGAATATGAGCTTGACTTCAGAATAACAGGACAGTCAACCCTTTACGAAGTTGAATTCTAAAAATAAAATAGTAGCCAACTTCCTGCCTACCAAAATTATTAAAATTAACCATGATTTTTTTTCCTGACTTCAAAAGCAGTCAAGAAATTGTTAGAATCTTAACTGGATAATTATAGAAGTCATCATTTCAAATTGAATGCAACTTTTTCAGAATAGTATATTTTAAGTTCTTCCCAAGACATTATGACTAGTAAATATGTCTCCCCATCCCTGAAACAAACCACTGGAATACAGTCCCCCAAATTCCTATTCCTGGACTAAATCCTTTCCAAGATAAGAAAGAAACTGTCAAAACATTGAGAAGTGCTGTTCAGTAAATAAAAGCTTAAGTGTATATACATCAAAATGGGAATGACAGGACAGCAAAACATCCCAAGAAAAAAAAAAATCTTTTACAATATTTCAATCCAAGCCTTAAAATTTTTTCTCCATAGAACAAAACAAGCTACATGAAAGCAAAGTGGAAAAGGAAAAGGGAAAGGGAAAGGGGAGGGAAAAGGGGGGGGGAAAGAAAGGAAAAGAACAAAAAGGGAAGGAAAAGGGAAGAAGGAAGAAAAAGAAAAAGGAAAGAAAGGAAGGAAGGGAGATTGATTAAAGAACGTTTACCCTTTATTTAACAGAACAGAACTGGACTGCTTTGGTAACTTGAACTTAAGACCATTAAACCATCTTTAAAGCAAGCAGAAAATATACTCTCTTTATTCAATACCGATAAACCACAACGTTGAACACGTTCATATTAAGAATATTTTGTATTCATGTGTTCAGCAAATCCATCTTTTCCTCTACATCTTTTTCCTTTACATTGGTAAAAAGGTCGAGTGGGAAGGGGTGCTGTCTTCACTTACGCTTGAAGTTTCTGTCTGAATATTAGTTTTCTCAGGGAAAACTTCTGGGTTCCTTTCTCATTTGTCACGATCTAGGTTCCACTTTAGGCAGGCAAAATTCTTGTGGCTTTGTGTGGCTGTAAACTGAGACCACTACTAATACTTTTATCTCTGGGGGATGTTAGCTGACCTAAATGTTTGCAATCCTTAGTTATATTCTCTGGATGAAAAGTAGCCCGAAAATAATACACAGGGGTTTTCTTAAACCTGCTTCTACATGCGCGTGGCTTTTTCATTTACCAGTTCTTACCAGGGTTGAGGAACGAAGGCTTTGACATGAACGGGTCACGTCATTAGCAGGCTGTCCTGCATCCCACTTAAACAAAATCCCACACGTACCACTTACCTTGTATGACATGCTCTGGTGAGATGGTCTTCTTTTCCGACTTATTGCAAATCTCATTGGCTTCAGAGGATATAAGGTGAATGAATTCAGTGCAGCAGTTCACCACCAGCTCCCGGGCATCGTTGGCCACCCGGACATTGGGTAGAGTCTCTTTGATCATCTTATTGATAGCAGCTCTGGGAATAGTGAGATCATCATCGTTGCCAGATGAGGAAGCCATCGTATTTTCGTATCTCTCGCGCCCCGACTTTTTAAAAAGTCGCCAGCTCCGGTCCACTACTCCGCGAAGACTTTTCAAAAGGCCGCCCTCGGAGCGTGATCCCGGGAGTGCTAAGAGAAAGTGCAGAAAATGAAGGGGGCGAGGGCGGGGAGCACCCGTGTGTGTAAAATTCACGGCGAGGGTGGGGGTGAAAGTCGGGGGGCATAAGATTCTGGGGACAGCACTGCCCAGGTCGAGAAGGGGAATGCAAGGTGGTCCGGAAATTTGAGCACTGGGGAACCACCTTCGTGTCTCCTCAGAGGGGGGGATGCTGTCGCCTAAACAGTTCCCAGCGGCACCGAAGAGGCAAGGTCCAGGGCCACCGGCCTCGCCGAGGTATCAGGCGGACACCCAGAGAGCTTGGCTCTACAGAGCCGGCGCCCCCGCTGCCGCCGCCGCCGCCAGCAGCCGTTGCCACCGCCTCGGCCAAACCATCCTTCGGATACCCGCGCCGCTGCTCACAACATGTCGGCCCCAGTCGCTGCTGCCTGGGAACCAATACGGACAGAGCCAGGTACAAGGGGAGCGGCAGTGGCGCCGGATGTGGCCGTTTAGCCCAAACGCAGATCGTGGAAGCCGAAGCCGCGGCAACAGAGGTGCCTCCAGAGGCCAGAGAGGGTTTGCGGGAAACCTCTCCCGACACCCTTTGCGCTACCGGAAGCCTCACCCCCCCCACCAAGTCCCCTCCTCCATTCCAGACCGACTTCCGGGTGTGGCTGCCGCCCTTCCCCCACCCGCGCCGGCGGGACCCGCCTGTCCTCGCCGCCAGCAGCTTCCGCCTGCCGGCGTCTCAGCACGCGCCGCGAGATCCCGCCCCCTCGCAGAGCTCGTAGCCGTGCGAGTGTGCGCCTCGTGGTAACGGGACGACACCGGCACGCACTCCCTTGGGCTGAGGAGCCCGACTCAGGATGGGGTGCGTGGGTGGACGGCGAGGCTGGATCGCTTCTACTATCTCTCAACCTTCTGAGATCTCGAAACTCTCTCCGATCCGTGTTTGGAGACAAAGAAGCGCCGGCTTGCGTTAAATGGCTCTCTTTGCAATTCCTTAACGAGGCCGAACTGGGGTTTGAAAGGACGAGGAACCAGGCCCGGAAGTTCCAGGAGAGCAATAGGGGGAAGCAGAACCCCGTGTACCTCTGCCTGCGTCGTCCGGAGGAAAAGCTTTTGATAATCTCATAAAGGTTATTCGGATCAAAGCTCAGTTTTATCTCGTTTTATGAGAAATGAAAGATTCAAAAGAAGTTACTTGCCCTCGTAATAGTCACTACTAATGGCTAAACTGGAAGCTAAAAGTAAGAGCCATCCTAGCTGAAATGCTTGGCATGCCCTGAGCCACGTTACGAAGTTCCGATTAGCCCATTTTTCATTGCTCATTGGCTTCTTTGCGGTGGGGGCGAAGGGGGAAGTGTGTTAAAGTATCTTAATCAACTCTTATGTAGGCTTCTTAACAGGGTGACCAGTAGTATATCAACATGTGTGTCAAGTTCTTCACAAAAATTGCATTATTTTAAAAAACTTAAGTCTGTCATACTGTCATTTAGAAGAAGAGGCTATGTTATAAATGGGGGGGAGGTGTTGCAATTTCTAAAAAGTAAATGAGATATTTAAATCACTTTTGGCACGTTATTCAAATACTGTATATTCTTGATAGGACAGTACCTGGTTTGTTTGAGGTGTTTTCTTAAAATGTTTTATTTCAGTTTAAGAGCCTAGATGTGGCATCTCAAGGAGACCTTAAGTTAACTACACTTTTTTGTTATTTTTTCATTTATTTTCTCCAGTTGAAGGTTCTTTAATTTCTGAAGTGTAGATGCTTGTTTCTCAGCACTACTAAGTTTAGGACAAAATTTCTTTGATAAAGCAATATTTTAAAATTTTCTTCAAAATCAGAATATGAAACTGTTGGCTCAGATGTTTGCATTTCATGAAGTTTTTTTTTTTAAGGCAGTTTACTGTTAACTTAGTTGTCACATTGTCTGCATTTATCTTGGCTTTACCACTTTTATCAGTCTGAAAAAGCTAGCTAGTAAGAAGTATCCCCAGAGTTATCACATTGTCACTGACCCAAATCTTGTCTTTCCTGAATTTTTTTGTCAATAGGATAATTTTGCTTTTTCATGTAACATTTATGCTGTATCGGCTTACAGGCTTATGATAGATCTGTAGATAACACACTTTGTAGATAACTATTACACTACAGAGTTCTGTAGTAGTATAGGCATGTAATGTGTAGTAAAGAGACCTAGCTAGATTGCAGTCCCAGTTTTTTGTTACTTGAAACAGGTTATTCTGCAAGCCTCATTTTCTTCGATTAGAAATGAAAATACCCTCACAGAATTCAAAGTCAAATGAAACTGCATGTAAGAGCACTTTTAACATTATGAAGTATTACATAGATGTTAGTGTTTATTATTGTCATCTTTATCTGGTCTGGGCAGTCATTAACCAATAATAAACCATTTGTAATGTGGCTGAGAGAAAATTAAATGTAAACAGTAATGTGATATCATGAAATGTGATCATCTGGATCCCATACGGAAATATAGTACAATATATCCCTATTACAAATAGGCTTTTGAAAATGAGGATAATATCTCCTTAATAAGCTTTAAGAGTTTTAGAGGTGTATGTATATGAAACATTTTTTCATGGTATCCCCAAATTCATGATACAAAAAGAAACAATAGAGCTATTTCTTATGATGAGTTAGGCTAACTCTATAGTAGTTATCTTAAAATGTGTTAATTCATAGATGCCCAGGTTTTCAGCTCAAATTACTGACAAAAGAACATTGGTAACTTGAAGCTCACCATTTAAAAAAGAAAGTAATAGTCTCCATTATGTTCATTTGTCATTGCTAACACACCAAGTGCTAGTTGATATGTTAGAAAACAACTAATATCTACTATATACTTTTGTGATTAGCACTGTGCTAAGTACTTTTACCTGTATTATTTAATCCTGAGAGCAGCTTTACTTGACAGATACTGGTTTACTCTCCATTTTACAGATAAGGAAAGTGAAGGTTAGAGAGGCTAAATAACTTCCCTGAAGTCAGTATAGCAGTCAGGATAAGCTAGATTATGTTGCAAGAAAAAATAACCCCCAAATCTCAAAAGGTTTATTGATTGCTCATGTTATGGGTTCATCATGATTCAGCAAGGGTATTTAACACATAGTAACTACTCAAGAATCCACTGGAGTTGGGAAGAAACAATGAAGCAGCCTTGAAATACAGGCTCTTGACATGTGGAGATAAAGAAGAAAGTATTTGTGTTCAAAGTGAAAATGTAAAAATGGGGAGACAAATTGTTCTGGGAAGAGTGAGATCACCTTGAGAGAAGGAAAGCATTTGTTTTGTGTGGTAGTGAGAGAGAAGTGGGAGAGCCAAACACATGAAGGGACAGAAGTCATGAAGCAATAGAAGCCTAGAGGCAGAAGAAAAGGAGAGAAGTCAGTCAGATCAAGAGCAAGAGGAACTCTAGGGCCTTAAATACTCATATCAGAGAGCCTGAAAAAATAACTGGATCCCTAGAGTGTTGGTGTATTCTGCTTCTGAAAGAGACAGTAGGCCTCTGTGAAACAGTTTCCTATATATCTCTATTTCCTGTGTATCTTCATAATACTCTTCTAAAAATCCCATTTTTGTTCTACAGAACTTGAAAGAACCCAACTCCGTACACGAGCTTTAGCTTCAGGTCTGGATTTTATCCTCATTTCTGCCATTTACCTAACTGTAACTTGGGAGGGGTATTTAAGCCTTGTGTTGATTTTTCTCATCTGTAAGGATTACCCTCTATAAAACATGGGGAGTTTTAAAGAAACTTAAATGCTCAATAGTGGTAGTTGTTAAAAAATAAATTACAATTCTGGTTATTGCCCCTAGGAATAGAATAATGGGATTGAAAGGAAAGATGATTCCAAAAACTATTTCATAGAAAGAGATGGAAGAACCTGATAGTTTGGCTCCTAGAAAGTCTAGGAAACAGGCTATTCAAATACGATAGCAAGATTTTTGGCCTCAGAAACTGGAATTAGGGTTTAGGGTAGTGTTAAAAATAGCAAAATTGAAAGGGAGCAGTTTAGAAGAGATGAGTTTGCTTCTGCATGTTTGTGTTTGAGACAACAGTATGCATTTAAGGAAGTAATGCCCTGTAAGCTGTAGAAAGAGACAATAGCAGCTGATTCCTATATTCATTCAACAACTGAGTGTCTACTGTCCTAAGTATGGTGTGGGAGAAATAAAGATGCCTATAACATCCTCATTTTCAATACCCTACAGTTTTTTGGGAGAATCAGCATACAAACAAGGTAGAAATAAAATACTATGATAAACATACAAGCTAAGAGTTCAGAGGAAGGGGCAATTAACACACCAATTGTGAAGTTCAGAAGGATTCAATATTTTAATGAAACCTTGAAGAGTGAGTAGAATATTGATATGGAAGGAAAGAGTGTGCAGCTGAAGAAGAAACAAAAGTACATTGTATGAACTGGGAAAGTCATGTAGCCTAGAGTGGTTCTGTTCATACAGTTTGCAAAGAGGCATAGCAGGGTATGCCTGCTGGAAAATTAAGTTATGCCCAAAAGATAACAAATCAGGGCCTGTTAGGAATTACGTATGTTAGAAGTTTTAATATTAATTTTATTTTCACATAGCCATATAAAATGGCTCTTTTGACAGGGAGGAAATAGTTTTAGAGACGTTTACTAATTTGTTCAAAGTTCTGCAGATAGTAATGGCACTGGAATTTTAAACCAAGTTGTTGTTTAACTCCAAAGATTAGGCTATTTTCAATACAGTAATTCTCTGAATTTAAGAAAAAGTTTATTCATTTCAGCACTTTAAACATATAAAGCACTTTCACATGTACTTGATCTTTATTACTGGTCATTAATCCCATCATGTATAGAAGAAAATCAAAATACAGCAAGGTTGGAGAGGAAGAAAGATGGTGGCATGAGAAGTATGGAGGAAATCTCCCAAAACCACATATAATATGAAAAGACAGCAAATACAACTATTCCTAAAAGAGTCACCAGAAATAAGATTGCACCAGCCAGTGTAAATCTGCGAAAAAAGAACATCTCATGGAAAAGGGTAGTAAAGTAATAAAACACCCGGCGGGACCCAAACACTCCCCAACGCCAGCTCACTGGCAGAAGGAAGAGAATCAGAGGAGGGAGGGAGTAGGAGCCCAGGACTGCTAAATACCCAGCCCTAGAATTACTCCAGGACCAAAAACCCACATTGCATTAGAAGACCAGAAAACTGAAGTCAAAGACTAAGACTGAAAACAGGTTCCCACACCTGGCTGTCCTGGGACAAAAGAAAGGTGGGTGCTTTGAAAGACTTCCCAACAGTGAAACGGCTGCTAAAGGGGCAAGGATTCAGGAGAAGGAAAAGGTGGACAAAATCATCCCAGCACACTCATCCCAGCAGGTTGCAAACTTTCAGGAGCTTCAGGTGCTCCATCCCCCTGTTTGGCAACGCAGCCCCAAGCACCCTACCCCACCCCCCACCCCACCGTGATAAGCAGCCTGCTGCTTCTTCCTCAAAGCAGGCACCTGCTGCTGCTTCCTCAATGCACGCAAACATGCTGCCCCCACCATCACTCCAGACCAGCCAAAAGTAGCCCTGCCTACAGCAACTA